GTGTGGATGCTGCTCTGGCTCCTCTGTGACTCCAGGGCATCCGCATACTCAACTACATCAACGATTTGTTGATATTAGCTCATTCAGAGCAGACAGCGGTTCGGCATCGAGATGTCGTTCTCACTCACATGAAAGAGTTGGGGTTAAGACTAAATGCCAAGAAAAGTGTGCTTTCTCCATTACAGAGGACCACTTATCTGGGCGTGGTGTGGGATTCGATGCAGGCACGTTTGTCCCCTGCTCGGATTGAGTCGATCCTCATGGCAGTCGAGAGAGTGAGAGAAGGCCAGTCACTCACTGTCAAGCAGTGTCAGAAACTGCTGGGTCTGGTGGCAGCTGCGTCCAAAGTGATACCTCTTGGCCTGCTGTACATGAGACCCCTACAGTGGTGGCTCATGACCAAGGGGTTCTCACCGAGGGGAAACCCGCTTTGCATGCTCAAGGTCACGCAGAGGTGCCTACGTGCCTTAGACATGTGGAGGAAATCTTGGTTCTTGACTCAGGGCTTGGTGCTGGGAGCTTCTTGTCGCCGCGTAATGCTAGCGACGGATGTGCCCCTCACCGGTTAAGGAGCGGTCATGGGTGGCCGCTCGGCCCGCGGTCTGTGGAGCGGCCGCCATATCACGTGGCAACTGCCTGGAGATGCTGGCCAACTTTGCTAGAAACACGTTCTCCTGGACCTAAGAGGTCGCCATGTGTCGGTGCGCACAGGCGACACAGCGGCGGTCTCTTATATCAACCACCAGGGAGGTCTGCGTTCGCGCACCCTTTACAGGCAGGCGCACCAGATCCTTGTGTGGTCCCAGGGTGAAGTCCTCTCGCTGAGAGCAGTTCACATTCCTGGGCTTCTCATTATGGGAGCAGACAACCTGTCGAGGTAGGGGCCGAGGCCCGGGGTATGGAGAGTTTTGGCCAGGCTCAGGTGGACCTGACTGTGACTCGAGAGACATCGCACTGTCCCATCTGGTTCTCTCGGACTCATCCAGCTCCACTGGGGCTGGATGCCATGGTACAGACGTGGCCGAGGCTTCGTCTGTACACCTTTCCCCCGATCGCTCTGCTCCCGGGAGTTCTGGAGAAAGTGTGCCGGGACGGGGTCTGTCTACTGCTGGTAGCCCCATTCTGGCCGGGCCGAGTATGGTTCTCAGACCACTAGGCAGAGATTTGAAAGTCTGGCGGCGTGGGCATACTTGTTCCCAAAGCGTTCTCCGACGCAGCTCGAGTTCCTGAAGAGGAACGTCTCAGGTTACGCATGTAACCATGGTTCCTCGAGGGAACGAGACGCTGCGTCGCAGGGCCATACTTACAGCATCTCTGCCAGCGCTTGCTTCACTCCTAGAAGCTGACGCCGGTTTAAACGCATGTGCTTTTAAGCTTCCTGGTCGCTACGTCACCCCCCCCAGTCACGCTGAAGGGCGTTCCCAAAGCGTTCTCCGACGCAGCATCTCGTTCCCTCGAGGAACCATGGTTACATGCGTAACCTGAGACGTTTTTTTCCCCCATGACTTTCATTGTATGGACAAAAACTGTTGTCCATGTTTGTTTGTTTGTTTGTTTTTTTGGTTACGCATAAGAAAAAAAAGTCAAGTCTCATGTCAAGTTTACACTTCTATTTGCACTTGTACACATAAACACAAACCGACTAATTACTAAGAGTTGTTACATTTGGTCATTCAGTGCACACATCTTTAAACAGGGAGTGGATGAATCACACAAAAATCATCACAGTGTGATAATATTATGTATAATGTGTTAGAAATGTCAAGGAGTATGGGAGCCATGAGTATTTAAGAGGGAGGCTGAAGGATAGAAAGGAGACAGGTTCTATCAGTAACCCAAAATTTTTAATTTTCACTGACATGAACCTGACATGACCATAATTTATCCCCCATATGCTCCTAGATCATTCCTTGTTTAAAATTCTCTTTATATTCAGTGACCTATACCTTAAAGTAAATAATCCTGGATTTGTGTGCAATTAGGCAAGTGACGTGCACATATTATGTTATTCCAACCACGATGCTATTACTTGTTTTAGGATATCTAGTGCTACAGAGGTAACATACTTCCTGTAATGGACACGAAGCAACAAGAGAAGTATATTTGATCCTTACCCGTTTTGCTGAGATTGACTGCAGAGTCTGGGAACTGTATGAAAAAATCTTGGATGGGTCCTCGTGAATACTGGGTGGCACATGGGAGCCAAGCTGGAACGGAGCAGGACCTGCACACACTTACGAAAGGCCATGCTGTCCTGCTGTGCAAGCATGTGTGCATGTTGGTCTTTGAATGAGGAGGCTCTGCATCTAATTTTATAATGTTCTTTGTTTCAAGGACAAAGCCACAAGCTCCATGGAGAAGGCCAATCTTGAGGTGGGCAAGGTTAAAAACACAGAGAGAGAAAAAGAGTGAGAGAGAAGCCTTGGTCTTAAAGGTCATGAACAGCGTGCAGAAAAGAAACCAGCACAAGCAAATACATATTTTCTTTATCTATGTAGTGTACCTTAAAATTCCGTTTCTGACAGGTTTTTGTAATCTGATAGTCTCCTGTAATACTGGGTCATGGTGCACTCAGATGTTGATCAAGGGATCAGATCAGATCATGTGATTCAGATCAGATCAAATTATGGATCATGGGAATCAAACTAAAGGCCCTCTCACCCCGATATAATCTCAGTCTTCATATTTGACCTTGACAGACTAAGTGAAGAGATGAATCAGAAGATTTTCACATCAAAGAAAATGTGTAATTTGTCATGGACCAGTAGCAGTTTTAATGTATTTAGCAACCTGCACAAAGTTTTCTGGAAAGCACCACCAGACCGAACTCCAAATCTTCTTTTTGGCGTTGTGAAATTAGTTGTGGTTGACCTGTACAGGTTTTTAAATGGACAGTGCTGATATCAAGCGAGTGTGTGATAGGTGGCTAATATAATCCATCTCAATGGCTGTCACAAAACCCCTGAAAGAATGCTGTTTGAAATCTGCCACCTTGGATTATAAGCATTCACTTTTAACCACTTTGGATCTGCAGAAAAATTGCATTGTGAAAATGTGGCAAAAAAAAAAAAACACCATCCCAAAACCTTCACTAGCGACCATCCTGAGCTGTGTGCAGCAGGCTGGACTATAAAAGTCTCTTTCATGTCATTTAAGAACCCTCCAATAGTTATGCCATTAGCTGAATTGTAAGTGCTGTTATGCAGATGTTCTGTATATTTGTTTCATAATTAATTCTTTGTAATTAACTCCATAATTTCTTGTATTAATTCATTTGAGTTTAAATTTAAATATGTAATTTAGATGAGTTGTAATGTGATGTAAATTCATTTGGTGTACTTTAAAACATAAGGCACGAGAATGCGTCACTTTAACGGAAATGACGTGCTTGTTAGTCGCCCTGATGAACTGATGATGAGCGGACGCATCACAAGGCTCTGCTCAGTTAAATACGTTTAAGTTTAAAATCAGTGCTGTCGCAAGCCAAAAGGACAGTAAAGAAGATTTTCATAAACTCAAAGACCTCTTTTCATGACAAGCGGCCAATGAGGTATTTGTTTGTAAAATGTAACGAAAGTGTTCATAATAGCGCTAAGCGCCATTTTGTGTTTGATGTATTTGTACTGTTTTCACTTGTGTACAGTTCTCACGGCGTTGTGGCGTTAAGACGTCAAAGGTGCGAAAGACATAAAGAAGACGACCCTAAGAATAAAACGCCCGTTCTAAAGAACCAACCTGTGTCTGTTGTCATGAAGAGAGCTACATGAATCATTAGCACAAATAAACTGTGAATATCAACTTGCACTATTTAGTGAAAGTGAAAGTGAAGTGACATGAGGCCAAGTATCCCATACTCGGAATTAGTGCTCTACATTTATCCCACACACAGCAGTGAACACGGACACACACACACACACAGAGCAGTGGGCAGCCATTTTTTGCTGCGGCACCCGGGGAGCAGTTGGGGGTTCGGTGCCTTGCTCAAGGGCACCTCAGTCGTGGTATTGAAGGTGGGAGAGAGAGCTGTACATTCACTCCCCCCACCTACAATCCCTGCCGGTACGAGACTCAAACCCACAACCTTTGGGTTACGAGTCCGACTCTCTAACCATTAGGCCATGACTGCCCCAGTTTATTGTTGTGTACTTCTATAGCAGAGTAATATTAGTGTAAAGTATTTGTGAAGTGAAGGAAAAAAAAAGTTACCTCGGAATCCTGAAAAGCATGTATGCATGCATATCAATATTGCAGTATATCATTCATTGTCATTGTCATTGTCATTCATTGAGTTTTGTGGTTTTAAGATTGCTTGGAAAACCTATTAAAGTCTGAATGTGAATGTATCTTCAGTTTCTTACAGTGAAGCAAAGAAAGCTGTCAGCCTATGCTTGCTGTTAAAGGTGGGGTAAGCGATTTCTGGTAGCCAATGTTGACATTTGAAATCACCAAAACAAACACGCCCCTACCCCAAAAGGGTCTTGCCCCTATTTTGATAGCTCCACCCCACACATACGTACACAACCCAGGCAACGATTAGTTCTATGAAACAAAGCAAAACCAATGTTACACCGTGTCTACACCGCACGCGTCCTCCACATCATGAGTAGACACGCCCCTTACTGCTGATTGGCTACAAGTTTGTTTTGCTAGTCGGCCCGAATCAGTTTTCTAAAGCGTTTTTGAAATATCGCTTACCCCACCTTTAATGGATGCAGCCATTTATTTACAAAGATCCAAATGGTACATTACATAAACAAAGGTATACATTGATAAAAAAAATTGCTAAAAGAGTTTTGGATACTTTTGGATAAATTAATTCAATAATACATTTATTATAATTATTATAAGCTGTAACGAACTTCAGCTATTGGTTGTTGTATATGGTCTGAATTGATCCACATGCTTTTTGTGTATGTGTATATGTGTGTGTGTGTGTGTCATATATTGCTGATATTGTATACTGTTTATCACTACTGAATAGTTCATGTTTGTACGAAGGTTTCCTGGGAATTCATTCATTCATTCATTCATTCATTTATCTAGCCAGCCCTGTAAGGATAAAAGGCAAATGAAAAAAAAAACTTTGAATTTTTGACTTAATGTAATTATAATTGTCAAAATACTAAATATAATTTAAAAAAACACAATAATATAATATAATTCAGTGTAATAATAGTTTAGTTTTAGTTTATTTAATTTACTTTATTGTCCAGCCCAGACAAACAGGGATTAAACCAAAAAAACTTGACTGAAAACTTTTTTCAAGCCAAATCATGTTTCTTTAACGACATTTTAATACTTGAGACCAATTGCGTTTTAAGGGAAGAAGATGTTTTAGAACAGCTTTTCTATTGCCATTTTGTGTCATTTCAAAGCTGTTTTTAATCTATGAAATATAATCCCTCAAAACCCAACAATTACAAAATTTACTACATCACGATCACCAGCTGGAGTGCCCTTGATAGCCACCAGAGGGCACTCCATCCCATACCTTTGCCACTCTATCCTGGACTGCATTTCCCATAACCCATTGCCTGGACTCATCATGCCTGATTGTTTTCACCTGTTGCTCATTGCCTCTGCCTATTTAAGTCAGGTGTTTTCAGTAGTGATAGCAAAGTGAAGCTTTCATCACAATTGTATCGGAAAAAGGTTCATTACTCGAAGCTTTTTAAGACGGTTTATGCTGTGGGCATCTAGTGGTCATAAAATAAATAACACCTTCCAAAGTGTTATGTTCCATTACAGCCAGTGGTTTCACATCTGGTTCTACAACTGATTTTTTTTGTTGTGTTATATTTTATATAAATAATGTTTATTGTCAAAATCATTCATTTGTGTCGTTGTACTGGCACTAATGGCGCTTTTCCACTGCATGGTACGGCACGGTACGGCTCGGGACGGGTCACTTTTTGGGGGTTTTCCACTGGGTACAGTACCTGGTACCTGGTACTTTTTTTAGTACCACCTCGGTTGGGGTTCCAAGCGAACCGTACCGTTACCAAAACGTGACGTGTAAACTCTGCTGATCACGGATTGGCCGGAGAGAATCGTCACTACCTGCGTCACTGAACTTGAGACACAAACACAACAGAACCGCTAGATTTAAATCAGCACAGCCAGCGAAGGATCGAACGCAACTGTTTTGAACGAGCGCACCTTTTTTTAACAACCAAAAAGTGGCTGTTCCCCCTGTTGAGGAAGTACAGACGTTCCTCTCGTTGATAGCAGAGGAGCGGATCCAGCGAGAGCTTAATGGGGCGACGCGGAATGAAAAATTTTTTTAGGAGTCGCGGCAATAGAGGCGGCGCAAATATAACGACATGTGGATAATCCCGCCCACTCTAAAGCGGTACTAAACTGCAGGGGAAACGCAAACCGAGGTAATATTAAATATCAATATATAATTTTTTTATCCAAATAATGTATAGTCCTACAAAGCTATTATTATCAGAGCATGTGAGCAGAGCATAGCGGGAGCAGATCAGTGAACGAGAGGGTAGTGTCATTTTACCGGCGTTGCCATGTTACAGCACAGTAGCGCTACTGCAAACAGGAACAAGTACACTACATAGAAATTTCCTGTTGGCGCGTTATTTGAGCTAGTGATGGGGGAAAAAATACCTTTTTGAAGCTTCAAATCAACTGAACCAATTGGTTCGCAAAATGATTCACTGATTCGAAGCGTTCGAAACACCACACACTGGTGGTGACGCCTGCTGGTCCAAACTGTGTAAATTCAACAATAACTTGTGTCAAAAGAAAACATGCATAGAAACAGCTTTTACAAACCCAATGCAAATGCTTTATTGAAAGTATAATATATTAAATGCAATTAAAATACCATTAAATATGAAGTGTCTGTATAATGTGTTTTTAAAAATAATTATTTTTAATTGTTATTATTATTAATTATTATTCATTTTTTTGTTTGTTTTATGGAGAGCTTGTCTAAACAGGCCAGTAAGTGTCTAGTAACTAAAACTCATTATTTTAATTATACAAATGTCTTGTTAAAATGCAGGCGCGGCTCGTCTTGGGCTACATGGGCCAAAATATTCATCCAAAACATAGACCTCTATATAAACTGAATCAATAATAAATTGTAAATGTGCTCAGCATTCTGCAACAAATATTTTTTGGATTTTCTAGACTATTTTAAGTCGTAAAGTAAGCAGTATATATTAAAATCCCGCGCATGGCTTTAGCAGGCATGTATTGGCGCTTTTCCACTGTGTGGTACGACTC